CTGGAGGCTCCCAGTGAGGACAGAATGGGGTGACAGAGGACCCTGCACGCAGCCTGGCAAGCTACATGGATTTAAGGATCCCTCCTTTAAAGATCTTTCCTTCTTCCTATGAACCTGACTGCCCCACACACTCTGCCGGTGACAAGGACCCAAAGCTCCGTGAGCCAGTGCCCCAGCCATTCCTCAAGCATCTCCGTGTGCAGCAGGAAGACAGCACAGAAAAGGGAAGCCTTGGTTGTAAGTGTGGCCTGAGGGCTGCTGACGTTTGTCACTGCAAGGGGAAGTGGTTGGGAGCACGGGCTCCGGGCTCAGACCCACCACCACCGCATTTACACGCAGTGGTGCCTCAGCTGAGACTCATAATCTCACTTGGGAACTGAGTTTCTTCCCACGTAAAATGAGGATCCTGCCTACCTCCTGGGTTTATCAGGAGAATGAAGAGCTATTTTTAAATATAACCAGGATTTGTTTTAATCAGGTGTGGCAAGACACACAGACATGAAATTGACTGTTACGAAGGAAGCAGTTTATACTCACAATCTATAAAAACAAGATTCCAGGCACTCCACGCAGGGCCCTGCAGGGAGGCCCCAGGCTCAGTCAGGAGGCAGAGGGTGGGGGAGACGTGGGAGGAGACTTTGCTGTGGGTTCTGTGAGCAAGGCAAGGCAGGGCAGAGCGGGCAGGTTTAGGATTGGCTGGTTTGAATAATGTCTGCGGACTCTGGGGATTAGCAGCCTCCTTAGTTGCCTGGCATCTGGCCCTGGGATGAATACGGCACAAGAATATGGAGAATAAGAGCCAGATAGAGGAGGTGGCTGGGAGTGGGGGCTCTGGACTGGTTGGTTTGCATATGAAGGGTGAGCTCCTGGACATGTCCATTGTTGTCCCTAACAATCGACAACCCTGGGAGGGGCAGTCTCTCCCTGGTCTGTGAGGTCCCCAGATATCAGAGCATCAAGAATACAGCAACTGAGAAAACAGTCAATACAAGTGCGAAGCGCCCAGCACACAGTGAGTGGGAGACGTCATCCCGCCTGCTTCAGCACCAACTGTGGGGCCTGGGTCTCCCTCTACTGTTTCACACGGTGAGTCTTCTCTGCTCAGCTGGACTCTAATTCCTGGGGCCCTGGAGGGCTCACTGCACGTCTGCCTCCAACCAGGGCAGGACAAGCTCTCCCTGAGCCCCCTCCCCCCAAAAAACAAGAGGAAGTAAACAGACGGCTGAGTCCGCAGAAGCCCACAGACAGTCCGGGGGAAAGAGCTGAGACCAAGACCTTGCCCCTCATTTCTCCTCCTTCCCCATCCTTCAGAGAGCCCTTTGTCATCTTCCTGTGCCTGTGAGCCCTGCCAAGTCTCAGGGGCCATGCTCACTTCCCTCCTGCCTTTGTTTCCCAGACCTGGAGAAGCGGCCAGCTGAGTGAAGCAGGATGAGTGACCATCTCTGGGACGGGCTGTGGGAGGAAGGGGAAGTGAGGGGTGGCGGAGGGGCAGTCACTCGGGTAAGCACCAAGTTGACAAGGTGCACAGACCTGAGTGTGCTCCGCATCCGGATCTGGAGGGAGTTAGAGTAAGCGAGTGTCCTCTCTGAGCCTCGGTTTCTTCCTCTGTCAGGTGGGAGTAAAAACTCCTCCATCTCACAGGACTGCTGTGAAAAGGAAGTAACACACAGCAGGGTCCCAGTGTCAGTGGCCTTGCCCCAGGGCAGTGGTTCTCAAACTTCAGCAGGTCCGGCTGGGGCCTGAGAATCGGCGTTTCCCCTAAGTTGCTGCTGGTCAACACTGTGACACCCACTGTGACACCCGCGAGTGGTATGACTGGGTCACGTGGTAGGTGTAGGTGTAACTTTTTAAGGAATGGCCAGAGCGGTTGTACCCTCTCACATTCCCACCAGCTGGGTATGAGAGCTCCGGCTGTTCCACGTCCCTGTCAACAGTCAGTATGATTGGTCTACTGATTGCAGCCATTTAATGGATGTATGATGGTGTCTTGTTGTGGCTTTCATTTGCATCTCCCTAGTGACTAATGATGTTCCACATCTTTTCGTGTGCTTGTTACCTATATATCTTCTTTGATGAAGTATCTATTCACATCTTTAGCTCATTTTTTTCATTGGAATTTTGTTTCCTTATTAGAGTTGATTGTATAGCATGGATATACAAGTCTGTTACATGATCGACAAATATTTTCTCCCAGGCTTGGTAGCATCTTTTGAAGAACAGAAGTTATTAATTCTGATGAACTCCAATTTTTCAATATTTTCTTTTATGGGTCATGTTTTTGGTGCTGAATCTAAGAAACATTTGCCTAACCCAAGGTCACAAAGATTTTCTTCTATCTTCTTGAGTTATACAATTTTAAGACTTACATTTAGGCCTATAAATCATTTTGAGTTCGTTTTTTAATATAATGCAAGGTATGGAATAAAGTTCCTTTCTTTTGTATACAAACGTCAAATTGTTCCAGTAGCACTGGTTTAAAAGACTATACTTTCTTCACTTAGTTGCCTTTGCATCTTTGTTGGAAGTGAATTGATCATAAAAGTGTGGGTCTATTTCTGTGCCCTCTGTTCTGTTCCATTGACCTATTTGTCTACCTTGATGCCAATACATCTTGATTACAGTACCTTTAATGAGTGAGTGCTGAAGTCAGGTAGTGTAAATCTTCCAAAATTGTTCTTCAGTTGCAAGTTTTTTGAGCTGTTTTAGGTATTTTGAATTTCGATAGGAATAGGGATTTTAGAATTGGCTTGTCAATTTCTACAAAGAAAACCTACTAGGATTTTTATTGAGATTATGTTAAATCTACATATTTTTGAAGGAAAATTGGGATCTTAACAATACTGAGTCTTCTCATGAATGAAATCTCCATTTACTCATCTTTAATTTTTCTCAACAATATCTTACATTTTCAGTGTTCAGATCTTGCACATTTCCCATCATATTTATTGCTACATATTTCATGTCTTTGATATTATTGTAGCTGGTCTTGTTTTCATTTCAGTTCCCGATTCTTTGTTGTTAGTATAGAGAAACACAGCTGATTTTTGTGTACTGATCTCGTATCCTGCAAATTTGCTTAACCCACTAATGGTTCTGGTAGCTTTTTGTATGTTCCGTTGGATCTTCTACATAAACAACCGAGTCATCTGTGAATAAAGACAGTTATTACTTCTTCCTGTCCAATCTGGATGCCTTTTGTCTCAATTATTGTACCTGCAGGGTTTTAATTTATAGAGACGACTTGAGTGATGACTCAGAAAGCTTAATGCCATTGAAAGAAGATTTTTATTACTTGTATTTCCCAGAGGTAGAGGGTACACTGGTGGTGGGGAAGCACCAGCGTCATTCAGGAGGCAGAAACAAGAATGAGGATGAAGAAAACACATTCTTTATTATGTTTTCTGCAGGAAAAGCAAGGCAGGACAGGGAGACAGTTTAGGATTGGCTAGTTTGAATAATTCTGGTAGGTTTGGACTATACACTCTGTCCTTAGCTGTCTGGTACCTGGCCCTGCGTTGGTTTAGGTAGGGCAGGGGAAATATTGGCTTGATGTGTGAGAGGTAGATAAAGGAGGTGGGTTAGAGTAAGGACCCTGGAGTGGTTAGTGTGCATATGAAAGGCATGCTCCCAGGACAGCCCTTTGCTGTCTCTAAGAATTAGCTAGTCCTGGGAGGGGCAGCAACTCCCTGGTCCATGAGGCCTCAGATGTCACAGCATCAAGAACACGGAAAATAAGAAAATACAGTTAGTCCAATTAGCCCTGTGGTGAATGGAAGCCAAACGGATAAATGCAGAATCTAAGAAAATATAGTTAGAAAAATCTTATTTGTGTTTCTTGCCTTATTTCATGGGCTAGAACCTTCCAGCACAATGAATGCAGGTAGTGAGAACACACGTCTTTGCCTCATCCCTAATCTTGGGAGGGCAAGTAGGAGCAGGGTGGGGTGCCACGGAGGGGGAGGGGCTGGGGCAGTGGTGGATGTGGTCAGCGAGGGAGGTGGAAGCTTGGGAGAAAGCGAGGAAGACCTAGGGAGCCCTTATGTGGAAGCAGCAGGGCCTGAGGGCACCTGGCCTGCAGGTGCTCTGCAAAAGTTACCCAGAACCTGCTTTGTAAAAGTTCTGTGCTGCCCAACAGAATGAGCAGTGGTGCCCCCTGGTAGGGTCCACCTACCCCCTTGGGTGGCCTGGCAGGGAGGAGACTTTCCAGGTCCCAAGTTAGTGGGGTAAGGCAGGAAGGGAACCAGGTGTGACCCCACACACATGGCAAGGACGCTCTGGAGGCCCTGCCAAGAAGCCAGCAGGTCCCTTGTCCTCTCTTCTGCCCACCTTTCTAGCTGTTACCAGTTCCGCACAAGCACCTTTCACAGCCCAGAGGGCTCCATGATATTAAGGCTCTGTGCCTCAGTTTTCCCCAAGAGTTAAAACGGAAGTAAGCATTCGTCCATCACAGAATGTTGTAAAGCTGAAAATGACAAAATGGATGTTTAAGGCCTGACTCAAACAAGAGGGTTCCATGAAAATGCAGAACCTCTCTTCTTGGGCCTGGGAAGAGGGGTAAGAAAAGTAAATGCAGACAGAGGGCGGAGGGTGCCTGGGCCAACCATGGGAAATTATGGAAGAAAACTATTAAAATTAGGGGGAAACTGAGAAAAGGAGAAAGGAAGTCGGTCCGCTTGCTTCCACCTCCAGGACTGAGGCCACTTCCTCTGCTGAAATCGTGTCCTCCCCACCCCACCCCCACAGCCTGCTCTGCAGCCAATGCCAACCTCACCCTGGGGAGGGGGGAGCAGAGCCTCCTTTGCAGCCAGCCCCGAGGGTCACCAAAGGGCCCAGCCCCCATCCCTCACCGCCTCCACCACCAGTCCCAGGCTGGCAGTGGCCTCCATCAGACATGGTCCCAGGGACTGTCACCAGGATAACTCATGGCTGCTCTGAGCCTTCATCCCCTCTGTCCAGGGAAGGTCTGGAGTAGCCAGGGTCTCACAGCTGTGGAGGGAATCCCCTGAGGAGCATTATTACAATACAGCCTTCTGGCGCTCACCCCCCACAGCTCTGCACTCATTAGTTGAGGCCAGAGACTCTGTGCAGCAACCAGGAGGAAGCATCCAGAAGAAGGAGGCTCTGTGGGCTCAGCAAGACTGGAGCTCCAGTCCCGGCCCTGCCACTCCAGTCCTGGACGTGGGGCAAGACTTCTCTGAGCCCCCATTTCCATGTGCAGAGAGAGGACAGAGGGCCCTGCAGGCCCAGTCCTGCATCGGTGGGCGGCCCACTCTCTGGGTGGCCCACTCTCTGGGTGGGTGGGAAGGTGAGCCCAGCCTCACTCGTAACCTCACCTCCGGGAGGGGGTGCGACTGCACAAGGGGGCAGACCAGGGGGCGGGGCCTGGTGGGCCTTGGTTCTGCCTGGGGACTGCAGGGGAGACAGCAGGGGAGCCCCCGCCCAAAGGGAGAGGGACCAAGAGCCAGCCGGGTGCCCCTGGTGCCTGGGCTGGGGGCTGAGGCTCTGACCACCAGCGGCTCCCTCCTCCTCCTCTCTGAGGGGCTGCAGCTGGGCAGGGACTCATGGCCGCCCACCTCCTCCTGCCTGAGCTGGCCCTGCTGCCGCCCCGCCCCTAGGATGAGAGAGACTCTCAGAGAACCAGAGAAAAGGAGGGACAGACACCCAGAGACACAGCGACTGACTCCTAAGGAGGTGCCGAGGGGGTGCAGAGGCAGGGAGCTGCGCGGAGAGAGGAGCGGCCCCAGCTGGCCCAGGGCGGGACGGCCCCTCAGCGTGAAGCCGGGGGCTGGGAGGCCGAGACCACGCTCCCTGCACGCTGACCACACGGAGGCCCTTTTGCAACATAGGAAAAGAAGAAGCCAGATTGACAAGGGAAGTGCCAGTCACTGCCAGGGTGGGCGGTTCGGGGAAGGCTCCCCCCCACCCCAGTCCTGAGGGAGCCTGACCTCGCCCTTCTGGTGCTGAGACTCCCCCCAGGCGGCCCCTGCACGGGCCTCCCCTCTGGCCTTGAGGTCTCTGCTTGTCTTCTCATCCCAGGACGAGGGCAAGGCCATGCGTCTGGCCCCGCTGCTGCCCCTGCTGCTGCTGCTGCTGCCGCCGCCAGCATCTCCACAGGCTGGTGAGTGCCCGGGCCTGTCCTGCTCTGCCCAGGGCCTGGGGGCGCCCCGGGGAGGGGCTGTGGCCGGGTGTCTGTAGAAGGGGTCCCCTGGGGTCGCCGGCCAGGCTCCCACCCCCAACAAAGGGCTGGTCCCACAGTGCTGGATGCCCCCAACCCCTCACCCTCCTCCCTACCCCAAGCCTGGAGAGGGGGACACCCAGGCCAGAGGGCCAGTCCTGCCACTGTCACACATCCGCCTGTAGGTGAGGGTGCCGGACGGGCTGGGGTCACCTTCTTCATCTCTCCTGGTGGCTTCAGAGTCTCTCCTTCTCCCTCCTTCCTCTAGGTCGCTGGGCAGAACCCAGTCCACACTCTGACTTTGGGATGAACCAACCAAAGAAACTCTCAGCCCCCGAGGGCGGCTCCATCCACATCCCCTTCTCCTTCTATTACCCCTGGGACTTAGACAAGGTTCCCAACGTGAGGATATCCTGGAGATGGAAACAATTCCATGGGGAGTTCATCTACAACACAACCCCGCCTTTCACTCATAAGAAGTTCAAGAACCGGCTCGTCCTGAACTGGACAGAGGGTTGGAAGGATGGCTCCCTCCAGATCCGGAACCTGAGGAGGGAGGACGAGGCGGTGTACTTCTGCCGGGTGGAGTTGAACACACGGCAAAATGGCAAGAAGATGTGGCAGTCCATCGAGGGGACCCAACTCTTCATCACCCCGGGTGAGTCCAGCTGTCCTGTCTGAGGCTCTTGGAGGCCACTGGTGCCTTGTTCCCTGGCCTGGTCTCCTTTTCCTGACTCTTCTATCAAAATCCTCTCTGCCCCTCAGATCCAGCCCCTCCACCACCCCCAGGCCTCAGCACCTTCCTGGCCCCCGGCTGTCCTCCCTTCTTGCTCCAAGGTGGGGCTCCACCCTGCCCCTGGCCTTGCCCCACATCCTTCAGGTGACCTGACATCTTCAGGATGTGCCTGTCTCCCCCTTGTCATGTGTCCATGTGCGGAGCCCCAGCTACCCCATATCTGTGTCTCCCCACAGCCAGGAGCTCAGCCCGGCACACACAGTAGGTACCCGATGGTGCCCTGAGGGGCCCTGTCTCCTGGCAACTCCCCATCACCTGTTTCCCACTCTCCCCACTTCCTTCTCCTGCTCTGCTGCCCAGAACATGGCTCTTGGTGCTCCCACCCCCACTCCCGTCCCATCTCTTTCCTCTCTTTCCCACCTCCTCTTCCCCTGCCTCCACCCTCTTTACCCTCCTTGTCTCTCGCACCCTCCCCCCACCTCTCCCGTGTTGTTCTGGTCACACTGTCCCCACTGTCCGCTCTGAGCTTGCTCCTGGGCCCTGGTCATGAAGAGGCGGCAGCAGCAGCAGTAACGGCAGCTCCCGCTTGGTGTGCGCTGCGTCCCGGCTGAACCACCCGGTGGCACCAGCCTCACTAACCTTCCCCACGACCCCCAGTAACAGTCGCTACTGCTGTCATCCTCCCGCTACAGGAAGGGAAACCGAGGCTGGCAGAGCAAACACCTGCTCAAAGTAACACCCAATAGGGGTGGGATTTGGCTCCAATTTAACTCCAGAGCCTCCTCTCTTAACCATTAGCCACTGGACCTCACTTACTGACCTGATCATCTTGTCTTGACCTATATTTAACCTAATAATGGACGTGTTGCATTAACACACCTTCCTCTCTTACTCAGTGAGGGGTAGGAATTTGAACCTCGGTGTATCTGTCTCCAGGGTGCGGGAGGAGGTCTCTCCCAGGCACAGGCAATAAGGCAATGTGTAGTCTGTAGATAATTTTTTAGAAAACTAAAAATCAACTAATTTATTGTGGTATATGGTATAAGGTAAAGAACTAAGCTGATCTTTGTACCAAGAAACAAATCAGCTGTCCTCATTCAACTTACTGAGTACTTTTTCTCCATTGATTCATAGACCTAGGTTCTAGGTTCTTTTGTAGAATAGCATCCATTTCTGGTCTGTCTGTTCTGTTTCACTGGTCTTGTTGTCTTATATCAGTACCACACTGTTTTAGTTACTGTACCTTTATCAGGTTTCAAGTACTGATAAGACTTTTTCCATCAGAATCACGTTACTTCTTCCTCAAGAACTTTATTACTGTTGCCTGCCTATTCTTCCATATAAATGTTAGAGTAAGTTTGCCAAGTTCCTAGAAAAACACTCATATTGATTTTTTAAAAATCAGAATTATATTAAACCTATAAAGCACTGGACAGAAATTGAAATTAGAATCTAATGTAGAGTCTTCTCACCCAGGAAGCGGTCCTATTTTAAGTCCCTCAGTAAATCTAGGTAGTGTTCTTCCAAAGACCATAGAAATGGTCTCACAAGACTTTTCCTCTATATCCTTTATTTTTGTGATTAATGTGCAATGTTTTAAAAATGTTTACTTTATTATAATATTCATTCTTAAGGTAATATATAAATTTTGACCAAGATGGTGGATTATATGTACATATTTACTCCACTCCCTCCCAAAATCTACTAAAATGACAGTAAAAGGAATTTTTTACGACAAAAATCCATGAGGGCAAAATATATGTGAACTAGGTGGAAAAAAACAGAATTTGGGAAGCTGGAAACAGACAGGACTGTAACTGGTTCAAGAGACCAGAGGAGCTAAACCCTAAGCCAGCAGTGGGGAAACCCAGAAGGCAGGCAATGTACACTACAAAACCCCTTACAGGGCCAGCAGTCCCCTAGTACACCTGACCGTGGGTGTGGAAGGGGGTCTGAAAACCAGAGGACTAGTTGAAAATCTATTTAAGAAGCAGGAAAACCTCCATATCCCCATCCCCCACCCCAGCAGAAGGTGGAGGGTTATCCTTTCTGGCAAAACTGGCACAAAAACTCTGCGGGGAAGTACCCTGGGCATAACTGGCAGCAAGGGTTCTGTCCTTAAAACTGGACATTTGGTGAACTGACGAGACCCGAAACACCTCAACCCTCTTGGATGCTCCCCAGGATACAGGCAGCCAGGCTGCTGCCTCCTACCCCACCAAGGGCATAAGATCACAAGATTCTTCTCTGAAAAATCTATCGGATGGGCCTGAAAAAGGTCTAAAAATCTAACAGATCACTCTATAGCCCACTAGCACTTTCTGCCATCACACACACACACAGCTTCCAACTGGCACGGCTTTCTGCTTGCCGGGGCCTTAGGGCAGAGAGACTGGGGTCTCAGCCTTGCAGCAAATCCCCTGCACTGAGGATTGTACCTTCGCCTCAGCTGCATCCAGGATGCTAGAGACTAGAGATTCTGTTTTTAAATTACTAAATTAAACATTTAACAAAAGCTTTCCCCATGAAACACAGAGAGCAAAATAATCAGGGGGGAAAAGAATCTGAAAAAGAAACCAAAACAATGGAGGGAGACTGAAAATTTTAAATATCATCCTTAAGAGATCACATGCATGTAACAAGAAAGAGTGCTTTACAAATGAAAAAACTCCTAGAAGTTAGAGATAACTAGCAAAGATGGAAAACTTAATAAATAAGTAAAAGATAAACTTTGTGGAAATCTCTCAGAAGGTAGAACAAAAGGTCAAAGATTTGGATACTGTAGTGGGTTGAATAGCAGCCCCCCCGCAAAAGCCCCCAAAAGCTATGCCCACATCCTAATCCCCAGAACCTGTGAATAGTACCTTACATGGTTGCAGATGTGATTCAGGTAAGGATTTTGAGATGAGATGGTTAACTGGGATTATCTGGGTGGGCCTTAAATGCTAATAAAAGTATAAGAGAGAGGCAGTGGGAGATTTGACACAGACAAAAGAGAAGTCAGTATGACCACGGAGGCAGAGACTGGAGTGAAGCAGCCACCAGAAGCAGGAAGAATCAAGAAACAGACCCTCCCCCAGAGCCTCCTGAGTGAGTGCAGCCAAGGTGACACCTTGATTTCTGACTTCCAGAACTGTGAGAGTAAACTCCTGTTGTTTAGAGTTACCCAGTTTGTGGCAATTTGTTAAAGCGGCCATAGAAATATAATATAGAAGGCAGGATAAGAAAAATTGAGAATTGGTCCAAGAGGTTGCACCTCTGAATAAATGGGAGCTTTAAAAACACGGAAGAAAGAAGGCCATGGGGAAGAAAATAACTACAAAATTACTCTAGACATTTTCCAGAACAAAAGAGCCCAGCAAAATGGATAAGATAAAAAGACCTACTTCAGGGCCCTGCAACATGAAATTTCAAAACACCAGGGATAAAAAGATCCAACAAATTTCCAAGGAGGAAAGAAACAGGCCACATACAGAGATTCAGGAATCGGAGTGGCTCTGGCTGTCTCATAGCAATAGAGGAAGCTGGAAGACAGTGGTTGAATATCTTGAAATTTCAAGGGAAAATATTCATTCATTTAACAAATGAAATAACAAATACTGATTGAGTGCCTGCTATGGGTCAGGTCCTGGGAACTCTGGGAACTGGAGAAACAGCAGTTACAACAAAACAAAAATGTCCTCAGTGATGGAACTTACACTTGAGTGTAGAAAGAAAACCACAAAAAAAGCAAACAAGTTAATTCTGTCTGTGTGTCAGGTGGTGCTGAGAAGAGAAAAGGAGGAAAATGAAGCAGAATTGGGGGGATAGAGGTGCTGGAGGTGCTGCTTTATTCAGATGGAACAGGGAAGGCCTCTGGGACATTCATCAGGGTCCCGGCAGGAAGCAGCTGTTCAGACAGGGTAACTGAGAAGAGTTTTGAGAGGGGAACAGGGTAGGGAAACCAGTCAGGGAGGTGAGAAATCTGGGACCAACCACAGGCCTAATGAGCAGGGGAGGATGTAGATACTGGGACCCAGAGAAGAGATGTGGCCTCCGGGGAGAGAGAGTCCGCAGGCCCTTGATGGTTAGTTTGCTGTGTCCACTTGACTGGGCTAAGGGACCCCCAGACATGATTTCTGAGTGTGTCTGTGAAGTTGAGTCTGGAAGAGATTAGCAGTAGGTGGGCATCATCCAATCCCTTGAGGGCCTGAATAGAATGAAAAAGGGGAGGAAGGGCAAATTTGCCCTCCACTTAAGCTGGGAAGTCCATCTTCTCCTGTCCCCAGGAGTCAGAACTGGTTCTCAGGCCTTTGGGTTTGGACTGGAACGACACCATTGGTTTTCCAGGGTCTCCCCCTTGCTGATGGCAGATCATGGGACTTATTAGCTGTCATAATAGTGTGAGCCAACTCCTCATAATAAGACTAATTCTGTTTCTCTCTCTATATCCTATTGGTTCTTGTTTCTCTGGAGGACCCTGACTAATACAATGTTTTTCAGGGAGGGGGCCAAGAGCTATGTCCTGACTTACCCTCCTCTCCCTCATCTCCTGCTGGTGACTCCCATTGGCCACTGAATAGGAACCAGGGGGTGAGAGAGTGCATGGCTGGAGTCCACCAAGACCAGCCTCCAAAGGCACAAAGCAGAGTGGAGAGGGGCTAGGGAGGAATCTGGAGAAGCCAGCAGAAAACTCCAGCCAAGGCACAGACATGTAGGAAGTGAGGGAGAGGTCTGGAGAATGTTCCACTCAATAGGGCAAAGGCTGTGAGGTGGGACAGTAAAAGGGTCCATCTGACTGCTGCGTGTAGAATCAGACTACATAAATGATTAAGGTCAAAGCAGGAAGACCAGTGGGAGATGATGTGACTACATTAGGGTGACGGCAGTGGTGGGTGAGAAGTCGCCAGACGCTGGTTATACTTGAAGACAGAGCAGAAAGGATTTTTAGATTCCATATGTAAGTGATATAGTATTTGTCTTTCTCTGACTTATTTCACTTAGCATAATGCCCTCCAAGTCCATCCATGCTCTACACCAGAAACTAATACAACATTTTAAATCAACTGTACTTCAGTTAAAAAGCAAGCAAATAACCCATTTAAAATATGGGCAGAAGAACTGAACATTTTTCCAAAAGAGGAAATGCAGATGGCCAACAGGAACATGAAACGTTGCTCAACATCACTAATACCAGGGAAATGCAGATCAAAATCATGAGACATCATTTCACAGCTGTCAGAATGGTGATCACCAAAAGAACACAAATAACAAATGTTGACAAGGATGTGGAGAAAAGACAACCCCTGTACACTGTTGGTAGGAATGTAAACTGGTGTGGCTACCATGGAAAACAATATGGACGCTTCTCAAAAAACCTAAAAATAGAAACCTAAAAATAAAATATGACCCAGCAATTCCACTCCTGTGCATACATCCAAGAAAAACAAAAAAATTAATTCAAAAAAAATACATACACCAGGCTATTATTAGCAGCACTGTTTAGAACTGCCAAGACATGGAAGCATCCGAAGTGTACATCAACAGACGAATGGACAAAGAAGATGTAGCACATATAGGCAATGGAATACAACTCACCCATAAAAAAGAAGGGTATTTTGCCATCTGTGGCCCTTCATTCACTTTTTTTTTTTTTGCACTTCAAAAACAAGAATTTTGTAACTGGCAGAAACATTTCCATTGCATCAAAAACAACAGAACACCCAGAAAAACACTTAACCAAGGAGGTTACCTATACTCCAAAAACTGTAAAACATCAATGAAGGAAATTGAAGATTATACAAAGAAATGGAAAGATATCTTGTGCTCTTGGACCAGAATAATCAACACTATCAAAATGGCCATACTACCCAAAGCAATCCACAGACCCAGTGCAATCCCCCGTCAAGATACTCACGAAACCTTTCACGAAACTAGAACAAATAAATCTAAAATTTATATGGAACCATAAAAGACCTGAGTTGCCAAAGCAATCTTTTGTAGGTCTGTTTTTTTTCTCTTTCTTATTTTTTTTTTTCTTCTCTTATGGTTTGATGACTAGAGAAGTTCCTTTAACATTTGTTGTAAAGCTGGTTTGGTTGTGCTAAATTCTTTTAGCTTTTGTTTATCCGTGAAGCTTTTGATTTCTCCATCAAACCTGAACAAGAGCCTTTCTGGATAGAGTATTCTTGGTTGTATGTTTTCCTTTTTCATCACTTTAAATGTATCATGCCACTCCCTTCTGGCCTGTAGTTTCTGCTGAAAAAATCAGCTGATAACCTCTTGGGAGATCCCTTGTATGTTATGTGCTGCTTTTCTCTTGCTGATTTTAATATTATCTCCTTATCCTTAATTTTTGTCAATTTGATTACTTTGTGCTTTGGTGTGTTCCTCTTTGGGTTGATCCTGTGTGGAACACTCTGTGCTTCTTGGACTTGGGTGACTGTTTCCTTTCCCAAGTTACGTAAATTTTTGGTTATTATCTCTTCAAAATTTTTCTCAGGTCCTTTCTCTCTTCTCTTTCTGGGACCCGTATAATGTGAATATTAGTGCACTTCATGTTGTCCCAGAGTTCTCTCAAACTATCCTCATCTCTTTTCATTCTTTTTTCTGTTCTGCAGTAGTGATTTCCATTAATCTGTCTCCTAGCTCACTGATCTGTTCTTCTGCCTCATTTAGTCTGTTTTGGTTCCTTCTAGTGTGTTACTCTTTTCCGTAATTTTATTTTTCAACTCTGTTTGGGTATTCTTTATATTTTCCTACCCTTTGCCAAGAACTTCCCCATGTGCATCTATACTCCTTCTGAGTTCTCTGAATATCTTCACCATCATTACTCTAAACTCTTCTCAACAGATTGCCTATCTCATCATGACTTATTTCTTCTTCTGGAATTTCATTGTGTCTTGGCCTGAAAGATATTTCTCTGCTGCCTCATCCTGTCTATCTTTCTATTTGTATTTTTAGGTAGGTTAGTTATATTTCTCAATCTTGGAGAGGTGGCCCTCTGTGAGAGATGTCCTATGTGTCCCAGCAGTACATTCCTCTCTTGTCATCCAAGGGCCAGGGTCCAGCCGGTGCCAGTGTAGAGTATGGCCTGTGCTTGTGGATTCCTTCCACAGGCTTTGGGATTATTGTTATCTTACTTCCGGTATCTGCCCCCGGGTGGATGAGGCTGGACTGAAGGTTTATGCAGGTTTCCTGGCAGGAGGAGTAGGTGAAGCTTGGTCCTAGACCTCTGATGGGTAGGGCTGTGTCTAGAGGCATTTGTGGCTCAGAAGTCTGCTGATGGGTGGGGCTGCCTTCTCACCAGTATGTTGTTTGGCCTGAGGCTTCCCAGCCCATAAGCCTACAGTCTGTTAGGTGGGACTAGGTTTTGGTGCTAATGATCCAATCAAGATGTCAGCCTCCAGGAAAGCTCATGCAGATGAATACTCCTAGAATGTCCACCACCAGCTTTTATGTCCCCTGGATGAGCCACAGCTGTCCCCTACCTCCCCAGGGGAACTTCCAAAACCAAAACGCAGGTCTGGCCCAGGCTCCTATGAAATCACTGCCTCTGTCCTTGGACCTCACGCACGTGAGATTCTGTATGCCCTTCCCAAGAGACTGAAGTCCCTGTTTCCCCCAGTCTCATGGAGCTGCTGGAGTTAAGCTCCACTTGCCTTCAAAACCAGATGTCCTGGGGTCTTTTCCTCCCAATGTCAGAGCTCCTGGCTGGGGAGCCTGACGTGGGGCTCAGAATTCTCACTCCTGTGGGAGGGCCTCCGCAACTTAATTATTATTCACTTTGTGGGTCGCCCACCCAGGGGTTATGAAACCTTATTATAGTGCTAGCATGCCCCTCATACCGTCCTGCTGTGGTTCCCTTTTTATGTTTCCAGTTGAAAACGATCTTTTTTGCTAGGTTCCAGTCTTTTTTTCAATGGCTGTTTAACAGTCACTTGTGCTTTCGTTGTAGTCATGAGGAGAGGCTAGCTCGTGGTCCTACTACTCTGCCATCTTGAATTGGAAATGCTTAAATCAGTTTTTTAATGGTACCTTAAATATCTACAAAGATACGATCTGTTTGTAGAAACTAAAGTTTAATATACATTAATTCAACCTTAAAAATATATTTCCAGTATAGACTAGGTGCTTTACAAATGTTTTCTCACTTATTAAACAATTTGTGTAAAAGGACAAATACTATTTGAATCCACTTCTAAGAAGTACCTAGAAGCAGTCAAATTCTTAGTGTCAAAAAGTAGAATGGTGGATGCCAGTGGCTGGGGGAAGGGGATTAGGGAGTTAGTGTTTAGCTGAGATAAGAGTTTCAGTTCAGAAAGATGAAATGTTCTGGAGATGGATGGTGGTAATGGTTGCAGAACAGTTAATGCCACTGAACTGCACACTTTAAAATGGTTAAAATGGTAATTTGTGTGTTATATATATTTTACCACAATAAAATTTTTTTTTAAATCTTGCGATTCAGTTATCCCTATTTGTAGGCGATGAAATGAGGCTCTGGGATCACACCACTGATCAGTAGTAGTCAGGATTTAAACAGAGTGATATAGATTCTAAACCTCCAGGTCTTCCCTTGTGACTCCCCTCCCCGTGGAGGAGCTTCAGAGAGTTGCTCCCCACCCCTTATATTCCCCAAATTAGGGAACAAGATGTGACAGCTTCACCCAGATACATTCAGTCCCTCAGGGGACAATCTACATGTTTCCTATGTCCTTTCAGCCACCACCACAACCACTGCCGCCGCCGCCACCACCACCACCACCATCACAGTTGGCCTCGGGGACTCAGAAGGGAAACAGAGTTCAGAGTCTTGGCCTCTGAGTATGGGAGCTACAGCTGGGTTGGCACTGGCCGGTGCTGTGCTCATAACATTAATTGTGGGGCTGATTGTGTACTTCACGTGCAAAAGAAGCAAAGGTAAGTGGTCCAGGACCTCCAACCTCTCCCCATGATTCCTAGCTAGGTATTTCTCAGAACCTACCCACATCAAAATGACCATAGGCGTCCATTAAAAATGGAGCTCCCTGCTGGGCTTGTGGTCTGGGCTTGGGAATCCGAATTTTTAATGGTCTCCTCAAATGGTATTTGTGTGTCATTAAGTTTGGGAAGCACTGCTCCAGACCAATCCCTCTCTACAAACCCGATCATTTTCCAGTTGTTGCCTCTTAGTCATTTCTCCTCATTCTTAACTTTTGGTTCACAAGGAGGAGAGGGTATGCCCTGGGAAGAGTAAGGAGATAACAGAAGGGAACAAGAAGTTGGCTCCACTCAGCCAGCATTGGTTGGTGCCTACTTTCCAGGTGCCTATTTTCCAATTTATAATTGGAGATGCAAAAATAAATAAGACATAAGCCCTGTTTTCAAGGAACTCAGTGGGGGATAGAGGTGGGGACAGTTGCCTCAAGGACTAACTGACTCATTTGGGAAGAACTATGTTAAGTTGGGAGGAAAGAGGTGTAATCAAGTCGGACTTCCCAGAGGAAGTGATACCTGCAAATAATTTCAAAGAATGAAAAAGAATTAGCTGGGCAAATGGTGAATGTGCTGTAGGAGTCACTCTCCTTCCAGAGGAAGGAAATTATTCTGGGAACTGCAAGTATCTCAGGGCTGTGGAGGAGGCAGGAGAGGAGGGAGAAGACCCTGTAAATCACACCCAGGAGCCTTCGACCCCAGAGGCAACGTGAAGAATCAGAGCGGCAACCTCAGCTTGGCCTGGCAGATACACCGCACTGTGGTGGAGAGGCCGGAAGTGGATCAGGCTGAGAACAGTCTAATGAATGTGTCAGTGTGGATGGAGGAAGACAGCCAGATCCTGAGAAACTTAAGAGGAAAAACCAGTAGCACTTGGGGAATGGATTGGTATATGGTCGAGGAAGTGGGAGTAAGTCCCATGTTTTCAACATAGGTGAATGAGGCCATGGTGAGACCACAAAGTGTATTAGGGGATATAGAAGGTCAAGCACCATGATTGGGAGAGAAGGATGATTCTTTAGTATGGGTTATTTTATATTTGAGAAGCGTGTGTGGCATCTGAGTAGAGGTGTCCATCAGAAATCTGGATTATGCATTTACAATTGAAAGAGATGAAAGGATAGAGGCATTCAATATTTATGCCACAAAATCCTCCAAAATTGGTTTGAAATACTGTAAAGAAATTTTAAAATAAGAGGAGATTAGCACTATCAGATTAATTGAAGAATAGAGGTGAAGAGCATAGAATCTAGAATGTCTGTAGCCAAATCCTACTTCACTCCTTGGCTGGGTAAATACTGGCACAATGATACTACTTGTCGAGCCTCAACTTCCTCATCAATAAAATGGGAATAATAATAGTACTTTCATAGGCGTTGTCATGAAAACTAAATGAAAAGCATTTAGAATAGATCCTGGCACAGAGTAAGCACTGTATCAGCATTAGCATTTATAGTTATTAAGCTACAATAATTAAAATGACACAAAACTGGCATATAACAGATGACAGGTAACAGATAAAGCAATGGAAAAAATTAGAAAAATTCAAATATAGGCAGGATGAAAACAGAGCAAAATATAATGGAATTTAGTAGGTTAAGAAGAAGCATTTCTTAATCGGGGAAATATGAGTAACTCAATACATGGTGCTGGAGTAGCATCTGAGAAAAAGTAATGTTATCTCCCTATTTCGTAATTTGCACCAAAATAAATTCCACAGAGATCAAAGATCCAAATAAGGAAAAAAATAACCCCAGCACTAGAATAAAGCATGTGAGACTATTTTGTAATCATGGAGGGAAGATGAACACCCTGAGTATGACATAAAACCCAAAGTCTATGAATAAAAATATTGGTAAATTAAACTATATACAAATTGTTTTTTTAATTCTGTGGAGCAAAAACCACAGTGGTTGTGTCCTGAGAGTAAGAATGACGGATGGAGATGAAGAGAAAATGTGACATAGTCACTAAGGAAATGCAAGATAATATTTGAGGATTAAACTCAGATGAGAGGCCAAGATGTATAAAACCATCCATGCACATGATTATGTTTTTCCCCAACAGTATTCAACCATGTAGGCTTAGAAACCTTTAGAAAGTATTGGTTTGAATTTCTGTTCAGCTGCTAGCACCAGAGAACAGAAATAACACAGAGGGTTTTTTGCTCTATTGTTTCCCTCATATAAAAGGATCTGGAGGCAGACGGAAGAAGCACTGTTCTTAGGCACTCAGGCTCCTACCTTTCTGCTCACTGTCCTGGGTACTGGCTTCTGTCCTAAAGGCTGCCTAATGGCCCAAGATGGCTGCGAGGACTCCAGCCATTATTTCTGAATCCAAACAGGAATCAAGAACAAGGAGGAAAGACAACAAGTTTATACTGTATAGCACAGGGAACTATATTCAATGTCTTGTAGTAACTTATGGTTAAAAAATATGAAAACAATTATATGTATGTTCCTATATGACTGAAGTATTGTGCTGTACACCAGAAATTGACACATTGTAAACTTACTATCCTTCAATAAAATATATATTTTAAAAAAAGAAAAAGAAAAAAAAAAACGAGGAGGAAAGGCCAAAAAGACCATGCCCCAGGTATAAGTCCTCCTTTTAAATAGCCTTCATGAAGTCCTACCCACAACTTCCCCTTACATCTTATTGGCTATATTTAGTCATATGTCCCTCATCTATCTGTAGGGGGCACCCTACCATTCCACATAAAATCAACGTCCTGTAACTGAATACAAAAAGTGAAAGGATATTGGGTGAGCAAATAGCATTCTATGCTTAGGAACACACCCAGGATTGGAAATCGGTCAGCTTAGTGCAGCAGAAGGACAGGGGAACACAGGTCAAGGAGCCAGTGAGGGAACAAATGCAGAGGAGAGGGCTCAGCAGGGAGCTTGGATAACCTGAAAGAAAGTAGCTTATCAAGGGACAGGAGTTCAGTGAGGTCAAAGCACAGGTATAGAGGGATGATGACAAAGGAGAGCTGGAAGAAAAGAAAGTTGTAGCACAAAAATGACACTAGCACTTACTATGTCTGAGTTCTCAGTCCCAGTGATTAAAAAACAAAAACCAGTCCAGGATGCGGCTGAGTGGAGCAGGTCACTGGACTCTGGGGTGGGGGACTGAGTCCACTGTGCTGAGGCTATCCCTGTGGGTGATGGGACCTCCCAGGGTGTTGCTGGCTGGTGGAGAGGACGTGTGTGAACCAGGGGCCAGATCCCCGGGAAATGCTACTGCAGGACTTGAGGAGGATGTGGAGGGAGAGGGCTACAGGGAGACAGCACAGGTTTCAGTGGAAGGGGGTGGAGAGGACCGGGCTGCAGTCTCAACACGGATTCCAGGCACAAGGGTCACAAGGTGGGAGAAACAGTTGCCACCCAGAAGGGCAGCCCAAGAAGCTAGCTTGTCAGGGCTGGAGGGAGCAGTGGTACCTGTGACAATGGCTGAGTGGGCCAGGACTCAGCAGGGGAAGGAGCAGGTGTTCAAGGAAGGGAGAGAAAGCAGAGAGAAAGGTCAGGAGAGAGGGCAGGGTGAAGGGGTGGAGGGGGCAGAGAAGAGCTGCTATCCTGATTGGTGTTGTGGATGACACACGACAGGTGTGGGCGGGCCACCTGGGCACTGGCTCTGAGTCCCAAGTCCTTCCCAAGTGGGTTTCAGCACAGCTGCTTCCCAGCTGTGGTCTCTCCTAGGATGCACTCAGAGTGGGAGGGGGCAGAGAAGGC